TGGTGTGCGGTGTTTTTGGGCTAGTAGAGTGAAGTGCATAAACTCCAAAAATCAGAAAGCTAACTAGTGACCAGCTCCTGTTGTTATCGCAGTTAGTTTCTGTCTTCCTTTTTCCGGCTGGTTGCCCAACCACCGACCACTTTGTGGCTGATTTCACTCGACGTCAGATTACGCATAAACACGATCTGCCCACACACATACACTTTTGACGTAAGGATGACAGCCGCGGTCAAGTTCCTGCCATCTCGCCGCATGGGAATTTTAGCCAAACCGACCGACAGCCATCCACGAAAGTGGGCGGCATGCCGTTTGATCTGACCAGAAGGTGAACTTCAATCTGTCACAGCCAGTCAACGGAGCATCGTGTCGATCGTGCATGTGTGTGTGTGAGTGGGGAAGCACTGTGGCAGTGATGGGATTGTACTAGCAACCAAACGAGGGCAGCACTTGTCAAGCTGCCATATCATGTTGCCCAGTTTGTCTTTCAACATTCGCTCTCCCATTCAAAATGACTCTCATTAACTACGCCAGGTCACTCTCAACGGTATAAGTGAAGGCAGTTAAACACAAGTAACTACTTCTCAGATTCAAATGGTTTGCAGTTTCACTGGATTGCATTCTCTCATTAGAGAACAGAACAGTTTTTCTTGAATCAGTTGTGTGGCTTTAGCCACAAGACCAAATCAATGGCCATCTCAGACGTGTAAATGAACTGCTTGTTACATATTTGTAATGTACTACTCATAAGGTTGCTGAAAATCCGTCGATAGCCCACGACCGGTTTCGCCCTTTTTGGGGCTCATCAGGTAGGCGCAGTCCCCGGGTTTCCATCAACCTCATGTTGAAACTTGAAACTTGAGGCCAAATTGCACGAAATTGGCGAATATACACTCATTTGCAAACTAATTTGGTTTTTTCAAGAGACTCACCTGGAACCCAGTTGAATCTCTCGTTTATGATGTTCTCAGGCAACTGAATGTGCCGCACCAGGCCGCCTCATGTTTCAGTCGCTACGATATTTGAAATATCGCGATACATGTATATCTTTGTAATGTACTACTCATAAGGTATCGCGATATCTCGAATATCGTAGCGACTGAAACATGAGGCGGCCTGGTGCAGCACATTCAGTTGCCTGAGAACATCATAAACGAGAGATTCAACTGGGTTCCAGGTGAGTCTCTTGAAAAAACCAAATTAGTTTGCAAATGAGTGTATATTGGCAAAATGCTTGTTACGTATTTATTCTCTGTTGTCCTTCCCCCATCTATAAGCGGCATAAACTCCGGAGGTATTTGCGTATACGTTACTGAATCATTTTGCTTCATTGCGCGGAAATAACTATCGACCTGTGATTGAAGCGCTCGTGTACCTGCAACTTGGACACACATTGTAGCTATTTTCATCTTTTACTCTATTTCTGCCAGCCAAAGTTGGTGATCCTTTTGGTGTGTCTTGATGAAATGCATTTACGTCTGACATGTGCTGGTAATAAATTTTTTCATCTTGATTCAAAAATTCTGCATTTTATGGATGCTAACGCGTGACTCAACGGAATACCTCGTATTATGATACCCTTTAAATGAGTTTGCTTCATAGAGGTCGCCTCATGTTTCCTTTGGGGAAATATTCGATATATCGCAGTATATTTTCCCATATTACTCACGAGGTCTCCCGAGTGTGACATCATTGGTTAGATGTTAAAAACCAAGTTTGCGTTTTCCCTTAACGAGAGTGAAAATGAAATACAACAGTTCAGGCCCATCAGGAGCATACTACGGATCACAACAATAAAAAGAATCGTTCAGCTGTAACACCCTTTCGGTGCCTAGCTGCCATGCCACCCGAAGGAAGTACGAGGGCTAAGATATTGCCAGGTTGCCCAAACCTAGGCAGGAGGAGTCCAGAGGCAGAGGTCGGGTTAGAACTGGTCTGTAAATTCGCACTTTAATCACATGAAACATCTCGGATGGACCAACACAACATCAGGTTCAAACATGTTCGCAGCTTAGACTGTCAGCCTGCTTAGTTGCCCATCGTCTACTTGGCAGCAAGCATTGCATCACGGTATAACAAACAACAGGCTTTTGAAATTCGCTGAGATCATTGCTAATCGCAAATGGAAGCCGGATCAGCTGTTTGCTTTCGGACTGCATCCATTTGATGAGATCCAAGAAAAGTGAAACCGTTTGTGGGTTGTCAAGGGATTTTCAGCAACATTCTGGGGAGCATGTTACGTCAACACAAAAACGAAGGGCAATAACTGGAATATCGTAGCAAATGAGTCATCATAAACGAGAGATTGAGCTGGACTCAGTTGAGTCTCCTGTCAAAGCTAGAGTCGCGTGCTGATGATAGTTTACGTCCAAATTGCCGCGTTAAACTGCAGAGTCAAGCCGTTGGAATGATTGTTCCCTTCTTAACTTTATTTGTTCTTATAATCTGTAGCACGCGTACGATAAGACAGGACGAAATAAATCCTTGATATTGTGCAAAACTGCGTCGTTTTGTCTCAAATTCAGAAGTTGGCAAAATAGGGTGGAGACTTAACAAGATCTTAGCTAGCTCTGTCGTGTATACACTTACTTCTCCATGGAATACGCTGCACTAAGGGGGCGGCGTGCTCCACTTGGAACACTATTCCAGTAGTCAAGATGGTTTATTTACAGGATGGACAAAAACTCTTAAGGCGCCGAGCCGAGTCTATCGTTGACACCCAATTTGTAAATGTCTGTTTATCTCCATACAGCCCCCCCTTTAGATTCGAGTACAGAGAACAAATAACGTAATTTCGAGGACCATGTCTATCTGAAGAGAAGGGGAGCCCCCAGTGGGTTGTCAGAGTCTTCATCAACTTTTAAAGCTGTTTCATTAAGATGCACACTTTAAGATATCGAATATCTTTCTGTTAGCCTTGGCGTGCCAAATTCAGCTGGTGAATACTGTGAGCGAGAGATAAAGTTAAGGCTCGGTTGAACCTCCGGTTAAAGCCATCATAACTTCTGAACAAGCATCCTTTTCCATGCTGCGTGAGGCAACTACTCAACAGCACTGAAATATGGCCAACTATAGCATTAGATAAGACGTTATTGATGTTTTGGTACGTTGTTTCATTTACGGCCATTATCTACAATTGACTGACCTTATCCCATTTGTTGTCCGGAGGTGCCCCAGGCCAGACCAAATATAGTGGTCGCTCGATAACTCCTCTACTGCGTGACCGGATTGTGTAGGCGTATCGAGCCCTTGTGACTTCTATCCCATACAAACCCGTCAACAGATGACCTTAGCTGACGTGCAGTTGTTTTGCCTACATATTACCCGTTGCGTCGAACCTAGATGATATGTTCAGGTGATCAGCTCTCAATCGGTTCGTTTTTGGTTCACTGTCCAGCAGTTGATAGTTTTGGTATTCAATAACACAGCAAAGCGTTCAGCTGTAACAACGTTTCGGTGCCTAGCTGCCATGCCACCCGAAGGACGCACGAGGGCTGGGATACTGTCAGGTTGCCCAAGCCTAGACAGGGTAATTCTAGAGGCAGAGATCGGCTTCGAACCGCGGACCTCCTGGTCAGTAAATTCGCGCTCTAACCACTGAGCCATCTCGTCACAGCATAAACTTACTGAGAAACAATGGCAATAAGCCAGACTTGTGAATCGTTATGAGCGAACTTGCCAACGACGTCTGACAAATAAGCCCTGCAGGTTAAATTGTCAAACACTTGAAATTCAGTCAGATTAACACTAGGCAATTATCTCTAGTAAAGAGCCGGTTATGACCGACTGATATGCACACGTGACTCACTGCTAAGAATTTTTAATGTGTGAGTGGTTACAGTATGAACCGGAACCCATATTGAGCAAAACGTAAGGGAAAACGACAATTACACTCGATTGCAAATGAGTCTGGTTTTAACGGGAGATCCTCCTGAATCTCAGCTGAAGCCCTTGTTTATGATGAATCTTTGTTCAAGTGAATGTGCCGTCTCGTGTTTCATTTGGTACAGTTTTTGATATTTGGCAGCATAGATCTATGAAGGAAACTACTCATAAGGTTGCTGAAACTGTTCAAAAGCCCACTTGTTTCGTCTTCTTTCGTCTCATCAGATAAGTGCAGTTGTTGAGTTTCCCTCAACCTTATTTTCTATTTGAACCCAAGTTGCACAAAATTCGACAGATACACACACTTCCGTACCAATTAGTTTTGATGGAATATCCACCTGAATTCCAGCTGAATTCGACTCAAACTTCTTGCAGTTTAGTTTCAAGCGGAATATAGGGTTGGCGAGAACTCGTGGACTGCGCCTACCTAATGAACCAAAAGAAGGGCGAAACAGATCATGGGCTTTCAAAGAGTTTTAGCAGTGTTGTAAGTAGTGTGTTACGTCCATACAGTTAGGGGAATGTGTCCGGCAGGCTTGAAATGATTGGCGCGGTGGTAAACTAAGTCTCAAGTCTCTGTGTGTGACATGTTTCGTCCCATTTGTGAACCATAACGACTGTTGAACGGTTGAAATTTCAACATTCCGATTTAACAGTCTTTGGTGTGTATACTGTTCTCTTAGGTAGATGTACGGAAACCAGATCGCTGCGAGCCAAGGTGAAAACTGCAACTGGCCTTATAGCTGTTGCAGGACTTCCAAGGATGATACAGGTAATTACCGGGTGTTACGAATATGCTATTTTTTTCTCAGAAGTTGGGTGCAAAATATTGAAGCGCAAAATTAGGAAATGTCTGCTCCGTTTTACTTGCACAAACGAAACATTTTTCCAAACTTTTCATTTTATAATTTTAGTAAGTCAAAATGTGACAACTTTTTGTTGTGAAATTTCCTTCCCTGAAGTCCGGTGGTGAAATTCAGGCGAATTTCAGTCGGAATGACCTCTTTCTTCCATCCTTGAAGCTCCAGAGGGTCACACGTTTTCCGGTCTGCAGTGAGGGAGAATCAGATGCTTGGTGCGCTTGGGGCTTTCGGCGTAGATGAAATATATTATCAAACCTTCAAAATTTCCGCTACTCCTGCACGACATAAGCAATGTATTCAGAGCATCACTGCGGGTTTCCTCCGGAGAATCGGCAGCAGCAGAGTCCATCAACGTCATGCTCTTCCTACGTCATAGTTGCGTCAATTTGTTGGGTACGATGTTCGCATCCTTTCACGACAAGCTGCACCGCGATATCTGTGCTCGGAGATCCAACGCAGACACTGAAACTGCATTCATAGATCCTAAATTCCCAGATCTGAGTAGTAGTAACATTAGACACTATTCCTGTGCAACTTACAGACTCGGATAACTTTGCCGAAGCTCAGCTGATGGTAAGTATGCTTTCTGTGAGTTGTCCTGGTCACACAAACTGTTTTCCGTGACCAGACGAAAGGAAATTCCCGCTTAACTCACCAGATGTTTGGGCTGATAGTAAAACGTTCCCTTTTTCAAATATACGCAGTTAGTCATACTAACCTCCCACTTCACCTCATTCGAATGCCACTATCAGCTTTAAACTCGTGCCTATGTATCAGTACGGTATTAAATATTGATCAGTAGCCAACGAACTAAGGTCCGATCGTACAAAACAGTGGACTGAAAATAGCCTCTTGTAAATTGTTCTTCAAATACTAGCACAAAGTCACCAGCTGAGCTGGCGGACGACAGTTATGGGTCAGAGAACAATAATGGTAGTGAAAAACTGAAATTACCAATCCCTCAGCATTCAGTGTTCACAAGTGTTCCTACCTAGTCTGTTTTAGAAATGAATGCCGTCTGACAAACAGAAGTAGGCGAAGCGCATGAAAGTGTGATTTGTACTGTTAAAGTCTAACAATTCTCGATTAATATCCGGCTCATTTTAGACAGCTTACTGGTTCGAAGCGGCTGATTAGACGTTGTCTTGCCCACATAGAACCTACTGATACTCTACAAACCTCAAGCGTAAAAATTCTTTACATACGCCATCACTTTGGAATTCAACTTTGACCCCATCAGATAAATTAACTATGTGTTTTTCACTACGCGCTTCGTCCTCACAAACGGAAACAATTGCAATGTGAAATCTGGTGTCCTGCCGAAGAATAGGCTTGTGTGTTTTTCCTACGCGCTTCGTCCTTCACAAACGGAACAATTGCAATGTGAAATCTGGTGTCCTGCCGAAGAATAGGCTTGGCACCTGAGTCGGTACTCCTCGACCAAATTTCTCTCAGCCGCCCTCCAAAAATAGAATGTCATATATCTAATCTCCATAGTAAACAAATTTGGAAATATGGCATTTACAAGTGGCGATGACAGCTTAATCGCAACTTCAGAATGGCAAACGAATTCCCTCGTCGATGAAAGAGCAAACTGACGATAACCCAGAGGGGCATTTAGCCTGCTGGCCTGTACATCATGTTTACCAGCAACCTTGGAAATGAGGATATCAGATTATGGGTTAAGGCCCAGTTGAGTCTAATCCCGAATTCAACGTTAAGCATTGTTCTGTTAGCCCCACACGTAGGCGCTTTACGCTTACGGGTAGTCGGTTCATGTACAAGCCAGACTCAAGTAAATGATCCGCTAGTCCAAGCCACGTGATCCATGCACAAACATACGACCACTCCATGCAAGGCCTAGCTGCTTAGCAGAGGCATGCAAAAATGGACAATATTGGGCGCAGGGACCGGCCGGTTCAAACAAGGCCGACGTCGTCCGACTTCTCTTCGACTTTTCCGCTTAGCACTTCTCTTCATAGGACACTGCTGCTTGTGATAATTCATACACAGCAGTACTATGCTTAACTAAGACGAAGTCAACCTAATGTCCCGAGTGCGAAAAGCTTTGAATATGTATACATATTAAAGACTATGATTAAGTTTGAATCGAGATTTCCGAAAACACAGATGTCGAGCTCCTATCAAGCCTATATTAGAAGAATTGGTGTGGGTAGTCAGAAACAGGTTGTGTGAAGAAATGCAGGTCGATGGAGAGCATTTTAATGTACGTGGATACGTTTTATGATGTTAATTTTACTTATTAAACATCTATACGTAAAATTGTACATATTTCACGCGGAGAAGCGGAGATCTCCTGAAATAAATCCTTTGAATTTTACCCGCATGCGCTTACAGTCCATCTGTCCTTAGTTTATGCGCTTTAAAAAATTAACTCGTTTTTTGGCTTATGCACAAATGATATTTGAACGCGCGCGCTTCTTGGCATGTGCACAAGTAATCAATCAGAATGCTGGCTGGTGCATGAGATATGCTCCAAACACGCCTTTTCCATAGAGGAAAATGTCGGTGGCTCAGGTAGCGTAGATGGTCGTTGGCTTGTTCGCTGAGCTGGGCAATTCGATTACAAACGTTTCATCATTAATCGAGGTGACATCATCGGTGCGTAGTTGTGCGTAGCGGTGGGTTAGTGGTTGTGCGTTCGGTAGTGTTACGTGTGTGTTGATATACGTGCTGGTTGCCGGGGACGACCCTTGACCGCGATTAGTTATTCGGTCGGGCGGTTCCATTGTTTGTTCTTTTATCCCGTGTCCTCGATCTCCGATGCCCATGTGAGCTTTTAACTTGGCATCCCTCGCCGTCGTAGTCTGGTCGATGTTGGAGCGACCTTTGTGCTTCCGAGTTCCGGCTTGTGAACTTTATTGATTTGACTCCGAGGAGTTCCTTGATTCTTCGTTTGTGAATCAATTATTCCGTCCTCCTTGAGTGTTCCGGTTGCGATTTTGGTCTTTTGCACGTAGAGGTGCGTAAATTGGATCCAGTTCGAAGCACCGGTTGATTGAATCTGCCGTAGAGTGCCATGCTTCCGGAAATTCTCTTCCGTGTCACATGTCTCCGTATGCCAAAATTTTCGCGTTTTCCAGATCGAATTTGTGGCCTTCTTGGTCCCTGTGTATAGATATCAAGGACAGGGGGTCATGCCTCCTGACAACCGCGTTGTATTCCTTTATTCGTGTACATAATTTCCTTCCAGCTTGTCCAACGTAGAATTTGTCGCAGTCGTTGCAGTCGACTTGGTATATCACGTTGCTCCTCTTGGTTTTGTCCCGGTTGTCCTTCGGTGTAGAGATTGATTTCCTTAGAGTAGCGCTCGGTTTATGGGCCACCAAGATTCCTTTTTGAGCCAATAATCTGGTCGCGAGTTCTGATGTATTCTTGATGTAAGGTAGGACTACTCGTCTGGTGGCTTGTTATTGCTGTTGCTGTTGCCGAGATGTCTTCTCCATTAAGCTTCTTTTGATAACACTCCTTGGATATCCATTTTTCTGGAACACTCTGAATAGATGGTTTTACTCCTTCTTCCGTAGTTCTGTGGTGGTGCAGTGTGTTTCCGCCCTCTCGAACAAGGTTTGAACGTGCCATGGAATGTGGATAGTTCAGTGGCTACAATGTCGTAGATGTTGTTTTACACAACTCCATACCGAGGGGCCATTTCGCATGCTTGCTTACTGTATCCTTCAAATACTACGAGTCTCACGTGGAATGCATAATTTATTGTTAACAGCCAAACTGTTTGGAGCTGATGGGTCACACGAAATCATCTTTGTCTCCCGTCTAGCCGGTGCTTTACGGCATCAGTCTTGTAGGAAGACATTTATCCTCGGCCGTCGGGTAGTTCATCCTTCGACCAGAGAACACGGACACACACAGACTTCCGAGACACACTGTGCTGGGATCTGTGCTTCGTTCCAAATCCACATCATAAGACGTCGTTTTGCAGACCTGGTAACAAGCACATCTTTGCGTCTTCTGGACGGGCCGGAGACTAACAACCATTGGTAAATTATGCTTCTGTGGACTTATTTTGGGACAAGCCTGAAGAGAATCACCGCACAGTGGGCAAAGTTCATCATCAAGGTCGGCGTGATTTGACACGAGATCCGTTGCACACTAGTAATCACTGGTATTAGTCGGCCAGCAACAGAGCACATGAAAGCCCAGGTCTGTGCCTCTAGACTTGCCCTGGGATGGGGTGCAATATCATCGACCACTGACAGCAGACCGTCAGTTGCGAACTTTGAGATTTGATGCGGCAGGATTTGCCCCCGAATGATCAACTGTCTAAAGATGGCCGTGGCCCTTCTGTTTTTCGGCCCCCAAACATTATCCACCGCTCGGGTAGCTTGTTTAAGCGGGCCATCCAAAGATGTTGGCGATGGTTTGGAAACAAGTTAAAGGGGTAACCTTTTTCCAGTGGGTTGTAACCCGACAACCACCTTTTGTGAATTGGGAAGAAATCCAAAAAGCAATATATGTAGAGTAGTTCTGACTGCTTGGAACAGACTGATCTCCGAATACAGAGAACATATGTATGCAGGGAAGCCGAATTGCCTTGTAGAAAGAGTTAAAGAGGCTACGAATAAGATCAAACTGTTCACTCACTACGACGCATACATAACCGGGCGCCGTTACCCATGTGGTCCGTTATCAGGAAGCTATAAAGATCGAATATAAGTGTTTTAATAAGACTCACTCAAAGCGGTCTGTTGCAATCGTTTGGTCTACACTCACTAAATCTGAAAGGTTTCGGAACAACGCTCTCCCGCCACCGGGAGAAGCATATGCGGTTTTAGTGATTTTCCCCCGACTGTCACAGAATCGCGCGCCTCTCGAAGTTTTGCCAGGACCGAAGGCATATTATCTGCCAAAATAAAACCTAACCATGATGCACCTACCCAACAGAGCCGGCCGACACTTCCGGCGGTGGTTCTATATATCCTGAGTGGTAAGGATATTTCCGAATTCATCGAACATTGGATCATATTTCATACGATGGCGTTTCAAGTTCAGCAGAACCCCGCTGTTGCCGAACTCGTCTTCGGTTAACCGTCAATTAACCAGAAGCCGATCGTGCAAAAACCTTGATAAATTACGGTTGTGTTCAAGAAAATAAGAGGTGAGTGCGGGGTCGTTCCTTGGCTCCCTTGGACAAAGCCACACTAGAGAGCCGGTGCTTCCTGTGCTGCTTTTCAGCCTACTAGCTTTTTTGGATTACCCGACTTTTCGTTGGTTTTGGAGACGGCCTGCTGCGTTTGTGATACACCCGTTCGTAGTGCAAAACGGCGTTGGTGCTTCGATTACTGGATGAACGCGCAAAAACCATGTAGTTATTCTTCA